TTTTTTTTTTTGTCAACAAAATATGGAAAAACTTTCTGACAACCAGTTAGGAGTTTTTTGAGAATATTTATCTAAATTGTTATAAATATTTGAAAAATATGTGTAAAATGAAATAGAAAAATCAGTATCTTATTAACTACATTATTTCAGCAATAAAACTATCAAATTGACTAGAAAATTTATTGATAATATAACAAAATGTAAAACCATAGTAATAAATGAACAAAACATCTTAATGAGAGAAACTACAAATCATTTTAACACAACACATCCCGCTTTTATCAGAATAATCAGCCGATATTAAAGATAAAATACAATTCAAAATTTTCTGTCCTAGAATTCTGAGCATTATTCACTTATTCACATAGTGATAAAAAATAGAAATTTTTCATCTACTGATCTCAGTCGAAAATGACAAAAAGCTGCTGGTGTTATTTCTAGTGCTCAAACAATTAGAAGTGTACTACAAGAACACAGTTAAATGTGATCAGCTGCTTGTGAAAAACCACGTCTATTAGTAAAACATCAAAAAACAAGAAAAAACTATTGTTTAGCTCATAATTTGAGCATGTGGCATAATGTCTTTTCAGAGTTGAAATAAATGTTGAGGTTGATTTAAGAAAAAACAAATTAATGCTGAAAAGAAAACCACATGAAAAAATGGACCTAAATTGTTCTACGTATGGAACAAAACATGGTAGTGATAGTATAGGCATCTGGACCTATACTATCTCTACATGAGCTATGAAGGTGTCTGTTGTTTCAAAATATTTGAAAGATTCTCAAATATATTTAGACATTGGATAACTATTTAATGCCTTCTATTGACATTTTCTCAAAAGACATAAGAATCTTCCAACAAGATAAAGCCCCATACTGCTAAGATTTGCAAGCAGTTGTTTGAAGAAAACAACACTAAAACCATGCCTTGGCTTGTCAATAGTCCAGATCTCAATTACATAAATAATTTGTGGTATTGGTTAAACCACAATCTTGGTAAAATTGAAATAAAAGATCTTTTTTTTATTTTTTTATTTTTTTTATTTGCATTCACTCCCAACAAGGCTGCAAGCAACCACTATTAAGTTGGGAGTTACTAGGAAAAAAAGAACAGAGTTATAGAGCAAGGAAACGGTTGACAGAAGACTTGAAAAGTTGAAGGTTGTATGAGTCAGGAAAACATGAAGATGGGAAAGAGTTCCAAAGGATTGAAGTGCGGGGAAAAAAACTAGATGAATAAAAGTTTTTAGAGCATGCAGGGACAGATACAGTAAACGAATGAGACTTAGCTGAATGGCGAGTAAAACGAGAATGAATTTCAGTTAATGGAACTAAAGATGATAACTCCTTTGAGCAGTGACCATGATAGTATTTGTAGAAAAGAGAAAGAGATGCAACTTTACGACGATGGGAAAGAGGTTCAAGCTTAGCAAATAGTCCAGGTCCAACAACATTTACAATGCGTTTTTGGACCTTGTCAAGAAGAGAAAGTGAATCGTTAGAAGAACCAGCCCAAATATGATAACAGTATTCCATACAGGGACGAATAAGAGATTTGTAGAGGTAGAGAATGGAATCAGAAGTAAGGAAATGGCGAGCACGATAAAGAGAAGTAACCTTAGCAGAAGCTAATTTAGCAATCGATTGTAAATATGGTTTTCATGAAAGCTCAGTAGTAAGCAATAATCCAAGAAGATGTAAAGAGGACGACTCAGTAAGAGGATTGCCATTCATTAATATAGGAATGTTGACCATATTATGGTAGTTGTTTGCAGTAAACAACTGGATTTTGTTAGAGTTGAAATTCACAAGCCACTGTAAACCCCAATCTATTACTGAAGTGAGATCGGATTCAAGATAAGCTGCTTGTTCTAGGTGATCGAAAAGAGAGGACTTTTTGTCAAGACAGGAGTATAAAGTTGAGTCATCAGCAAAACTGGACCACAAGCTGTAGATGAGTTTAATTGAGATATGACTTTAGCAACAGAAGCCGGAGTGATTGAATGTCTAACAATGGGTCAACCTGTTTGACTGGAATGGAAGGAAGAGAATGTCCATAAGATTCAAGAGTGGAATTAGAAGAAAAGTTTTTTGCAAATAGTTCTGCCTTATCCTTGGGAGAGGTAATAAGATCAGTCCCATGAATGAGAGATGGAATGCTAGATCTACCCTTGTTAATAATGCTGTTGAAGATTTTCCAAAAGTCTTTAGAGCCTAACTTCTGCGATAAGATGCGAGGTTTAGTGAACTGAGAATAATGGAGTTTAGCATCAGAAAGCACCTTTTTACATCGATTTCTTGTAATAATAAATAATATCTTGACCAGCCAAAAGAATTAGTATCAAAATTACTGAATAGTGTTTCAAAAGAGATTACTCAGAATTTAGTGAACTCCATGCCAAAATATATCAATAAATACTTAAAAGCAAAAGGATTGAACACAATATACTAATTCTTTTTTTTAATGTTTTAATTTTTTATAAAGGTTCATTAATTTTGTTTTTGTGGTTTGTTTATTTTGGCCACATTTTTTTTTTTTTCGATGTAAATAAACACTTGTTTTAAATTCAATATTTTAGTTTTTAATTTTTTTAATTTTCATTATTTCATAATAAATTTATATTGCGATTATTTGATTTATTTAATAACTTGATAGATTGTTATTAATGGCCATTACTATATATATATATATATATATATATATATATATATATATATATATATATATATATATATATATATATATATATATATATATATATATATATATATATATATTTATATATATATATATATATATATATATATTATATATATATATATATATATATTTATATATATATATATATATATATATATATATATATATATATATATATATATATATATATATATATATATATATATATATATATATATATCATTAAAATAATAATATGGAGAAAACTCTCTATACAAAAAATCCTAAAAATTTAATGAAAGTTACTTAAACTTATATTATAACACTATGTATAAAAACCTTTATATATATATAAAAAAAACATATTTAATAAAATTCATTTATCGTCAAAAGCATAAGTTGCTAACAAAAAAAAAACTGAGCATATCATTTAAACATTTTTTCACAAACATTTTTTCAACACATTTTATGAATACACTAATTATAAACAGATTTAATTTATGTGTTTCATCATGACAGTACACCACATAACTGGCAAGGATAACATTTTTGCTCACAACAAAGCCAAGTCACATTATAGCAAAGCACGCCACTTGGCTAACAAGTCAACAATCTTGCTGTAAACTAAACCAAGTCACAACAATTTGAAACCATGCAAACAACATAATAACCACTTGCAAACTATAAACAAATAACATTATATCACAAACAGAAACACTCATATATAAAAGATATTTTCACACTTACAAAATATAAACCCATATAAATTTAACACATAATAAATAACACATAAATATAATTAAATATATAAATTAGATTTTAATTTATATATATAAATATTACAAAAGTAAGGTTATATTTTTTAAATGTTTCTAATTATTAGAAACATTTATAAAATACAACCTTATTTTTTAATATTTGTTTAATGACATACCTTATAATAAATGTTTAACAACTTTCAAAAAATAAATGATCAAAGGACCTGGTTTTTCTATAATTTCATTAAAAATTTTCTTTAATTTCTTTAAAATAAGGTATCAAACGATCTTTTCTTTAACATGAATCATAGAGGCGACCATGTGAGATGCAAGGGTTTCAGAGATAAACACTAACTTTATGAAGAGTTGACATTTTGACCTTTGAAAAAAGCATCATCTTCTAGAGTTGTCATCATCTTCTAATTTTTAAAAATAAAAGTTAATTTACTTCAAAAATAAAAATTAATATACTTTATTATTAGTTAATATAAGTTATTATTTATTAATATACGTTATTATTAAAATTGTGTTATGAATTAAATGAATTACCTGACTTTAAAAGTTACTATACTCATTTAAAAATAACATAAGGTTTATCCTTTACTACAGAAGTCATCAAATTAAAAAGTTTTCAATCTTATTACTGATAAAGCAAAGTTTTCGATCTTATTACGGATTAAGCAGATATTAACAGATAATTACAATTTAAGAGAACCTCATCACATAAGTATAAAGAGAAAGTATAAAGAGAAAGAGCATGCTAAATCCTATTTATACTAAAACTCCACGTAAACACGCACAAAGGGTAACGGCAGCAGCAGCGTTAAATTAAGTAATAATTATAAGTGATTATTAGGTATTGTAATTAATTGCGTCATAATATTTAGGGTGGCTAAGTCATAATACATTTACAGTATTAAGAATTAATAATTGTAATGAATGTTTTGAGTTTAATATTAGTTGATATAATTGTAATGAATGTTTCAAGTTTAATATTAGTTGATATAATTGTAATGAATGTTTTGAGTTTAATATTAGTTGATATAATTGAAATGAATGTTTTGAGTTTTTAGTTGATATAATTAGTAAGTAGTTTGACTCAATATATATTGATATGATTTAAAAAATGTTCAAATAAATTGGCCAGAATTTGATTCAATTTTATATATGGTGGCTATGTTTAGGACCATGTGCCTGAAATTTACTCAAATTGAAGTTCTTACTTTTTTAAGATATCTATGAGCTGCATGCAACTTTGAAACCAAATTGTAGCTAGATCTACATTTTTGACAGATTTCTTTTTTAAACAGTCTATCTTATCTAAACAACTGATGATATTAAAATGCTCCAATGCAAAATAATAATTTGTAGTTATAATTTGGTAAAGTTACCCATTAAAGTTGTTGTTGTTACTGTCACTATTGAATATTTTTTAAATAATTAAATTATAATTTTTCAATTTTATTTATTTTCAATTTAATAATAACTATTTTTTAATAAATTAAAAAACTATTATTGTTAAATTGAAAATAATTATTAATTGTGGTATAACTCTTTTTTAGTTTCAAAAATGTATAATCATGGTATGAATTGGAAAAAGAGTAATCAGGATACATCAGCGCTATACTTGTGTCTTATTTACTGTTGCCATATTCCGTCTGGTATAATTTGTTCCCTAGCTTCACTTTCAGCATTTATCACATTTTTTATAACAAAGGAGTTCAAATTGTCAAATTGTATATCTGCTGCTATGAGGTTTTTGGGTCTTCACATAAGAGTTGTATTGTATTTATCTTGGTGGATTGTTGCCACAATTATTTCATATCCTTACTTAAAATCATCTTGCCAAGAAACAATACACTCTATTTCTCATCTCATAAATATTGTCATAAATGGAAGTTTATTTGGTGATAAAAATCACTTTTTCTGGTTTACATCCTTGGTTCTTATAGGTTTATTTACTACTCTAATAGATTTTTGTTCTGTTTTTAAATTAAAGAAGTTTTCTATTAATAATCAATATTATTCTGTTTGGTTGTTTCTTATGACATTTTTTGTTGTCTTAGCATGTTTATCTAATTTATTTTTAACATTAAATAATTTTGTATTTTTAATTCATTTTTGTGGTTTACTTCTTGCTTCAACTTCTCTTCAGTTATTTTTTCAAGTTTTTTACAAATTTGTTGCTTTTACAAGTCTTTTTAAAGCTCTTTTTATCTTGATAATTTCGAGTGTTTCCATAAAACATTTTACTTTAACAATATCTGAAAATGTATTAACTGAGGGAAATGAAAATTTTCAAAATGCTTTACGCGCTTTACAAAATGAAAGTACTCATGGAAGAATTTTTATTCATGAAAAGTTAGGTAATACTTTTTACTTGAAGTTTTTTTCATAGTAATCTTTTGACCTTCAAAATTTATATAAAGATTTTTTTGTAAAGGTACTGGTGATCCTTGGGATATTATTAATATACCATCTCTAACAGGAAAACTTGGTGAGAATTTTCTTTATTCAGTATTCTTTTTAGAATTTACTACAGCAAATAAATATATATACTGTCTTTCATATTTGTATATATAATTAAAAAAAAAAATTAAATAAAATAATAAATATATTAAATAAATATTTGTTTTTCAATATAATAATTAATACTTTTTTCACAACACTTTTAAGAGTGTAGGATCACTCAAAGAATTGTAGGATATAACTTTTTTATTTTATTTTTTCTGTTGAAAAATATATTTAAATTAAATCATGTTTTGAAACAAAAAATAAAAGTAATAACAGTAATGATAACTAACCGCAAGAACCACAAAAAAAAAAGTCAATGACAAATGTTAATTAATAAACTTAAATTCATTAGTTTTAAAACTTAATTTCAATTCATGTCTAAACCTGTTATAGCTTCCGCCTTAAAAGAAAATAAAGATAAAATGAGACTATAGAACTTAGTAAACAAAAATAAAGATAAAATAAGACTATAAAACTTAGTTAAAAAACTTTGTTTTAAAATATCAAGATACTTAAATTTTGTCTTGTTTTTTTTTAAACAAAATAATTGCACTAATAAAATATTTAAACAAAATAATTGCACTAATAAAATATTTAAACAAAATAACATAAACACAGATGGTGACACTAATAAAATATTTTTCATTTGTAAAAGTAGGTAGTATGAAGTAAGAAAGCCTCGCTTACCAAAAAAGTTTTTCTTGAACTAGATATAAACATTCACTATTTTAATGTCAATATGAACAAACCTAATTGGCAGCAACAACAAACTGTATTTCCAGTAACAACAAGCTCTATTGCCAATAATAACAACTTGAATTTCTAATAACACTAAACATCATAAGTAATGATAACACTAAATATCATAAGTAATGATAACACTAAATATCATAAGTAATACCTAATTTAAGTAAAAGACTAACTATTGCAACTGCAAAATTTACACAAAAAAAGTAAATTTTCTGATAATCTTACTGAGGTATGATTAAAAGTTACTGAGGTATTATTAATAGCTCCCGAGGTATAATTAAAAGTCCATAGGGTATAATTAAGGTTTTTATATAAAGGATTTGTAATAAATAAAGTTTTATATTGTTTTATACTAAATTTATTCAACAGTTTTATTTTTGTTTAAAGTTTTTTAGACTTTTTTACAACACTTTAGATAAAGTAGTTGAGAGTTTTTAAATTTGACAAATTTATGAATTTTACATTTTTTTATTACAAATATTTCTATGTGCTAATTAAAAACTCATGCAGGTAATGAGTCATTACAATATAACAAACATAATAACAAAGTATTATTTTTATTTGAGTTTGCATTCGCTGTTGCTATAAAGAGGAAAAACAAAAATGGCATATTCATATAAAGCTCAAAATATAAAATGATATGTAAATTAATATAGTTAGTGGAATATTTGTTGAAACTATCTATCGGCTGTAAAATAAAACAATCAAATTAGTATATTTAATCAAAAAATATGCGATTTTCAAACAAATGAAGAAAATAGAACTAACTGAAAACTTCATCTTTATTGTTATCCTTGTTATAAAAGATCTAAAAGTTTAAGGAAACTTTGATTTGATGTTAAAGTTTGAACATTTATAATAAAAACTCTGATAATCATCATCTTTAATATTTGCCATCTTTGATATTTGCCATCTTTGACATTCACTATCTTTGATATTTGCCATCTTTGATATTTGCCATCTTTGACATTCACTATCTTTGATATTTGCCATCTTTGATATTCACTATCTTTGATATTCAACATATTAGATATTCACCATCTATGACTTTCACCATCTATGACTTTCACCATCTATGATATTCACCATCTATGATATTCACTATCTTTGATATTCACCATCTTTGACATTCACCATCTTTGACATTAACTATCTTTGATATTCACCATCTATGATGTTTGCCATCTTTTTATCACTTGTTATGATTAAATTTCTTTTAAATTAAACTTTAAAACTGGTTTTTATTGCCAATAAAAAGCTATTGTTAAATTTGACGATGCCTAATCAGTCTCTTATTGATCTCTGAACTTAACCCTAACCAAATAAAATTAAAAATCAAATAGTATTACAATTAGAATTATGGTGGCAAGTGTTCTGATGATTCCATATATTTTAGAATATTTTGCAAGCAAGTATAACAAAAACTGAGTAGGATCAAAAAAATATAACAAAAACTGAGAATCTTCCATATTTCATATAATCATTCAAGTATAATTTTTTTTTTAATCTGGTTTAAAGGACTTATAAAAAGTAAATGATTTACTTTGTGAAAATTTGATTTGTTACTAAAGATTCAGAACTAATGATCAATCAAATTCATAAGAAGAAGATTTGATATTTAGAGATTGCATATAGTTTGAGATTACTTATATAGTTGAAATCATTCCATTTGAATCCTCGACAGATCTCAAAATATGTTTGAATTACAAGAGTTTTTGAATTACAAGAGTTTTTGAATAATAGGAGTTTAATCCTAAATATTAAAATAGAGTTCAGTTCTAAATATTAAGGTAAAACTTTAACTCTTATCTTTATTATATTTATATATTATATTATATTTATTTTACTTTTGTATTTTTATTTTATAATTAAATTTTATATTTTATATAAATAAAGTTTATTTTATAGTATTTTAGATAAAATAAAAAAACTGAAATAAATAATCATGCCTTGTGAATATCAATGCAAGACTATTGGTATATACAATCACAGCAAATTAATGACTGCCATATAGCTTGTAAAGAAAGGGGAGACAGTATACAATGTATCAAAGTCTTCTGGAATTCCTTATGAGGCATTACACAGACGGTTCCATGATCAAATCCAAAGGAATGACAAAAGAATTCAAAGCTGAACTTTTAACAAAAGCAAGAGCTTATGATCTTTCTCTAAAAGATAGATTTTTTTAAATTATATGAGAAGGCATTAAATGATAATAATTTATTCGATAGACCACATTGTATATTCAATTTGGATGAGACAGTTTTACGTACAAATTCTACAGCAGGAAAAATCTTTGTTCAGAAAGCATCAAAAACACCCTATTACATTGCTCCATCATGTGGTAAATTAATGTGTACTGTACTGTTTTGTGGGTCAGCAAATGGCCGGTGTTTATCTTCCTTTGTCGTCTACAAAGCCATCTACTTTTATAATGCATAGTGTCAAAATGAACCAGAAAATGCAATATATAGAGTAACTGTCCGGTAATGTATGGAGTAAGTCAGGTTGGATGGAGAACTATATTTTTGAAAGCTGGATTGACAGGTTTATTATATATGTAAAGGATTATGAATGTAAAGGATTAAGCCTGTGTTGCTGCTGTGTAATGGACACAATAGCCATATAACTTATTCTACTGTTAAAAAAAGCTCTGGACAATTTTTTATTTAAAAGAAAAACTTTGTTTACCTCCAAACACGAGTCACGCATTACAACCTCTTGATTTTGTTTTTTTGCTCTATTGAAATCCCATAAGAAGAAAATCCTTAAAAATTGTTTAAGAGAAAGACAAAAATGTTGATAGGTCTGTATTTCCAACTTTACTAAAAGATCTTGTCAGTTAGATAGAAAGCAAACTCCTGAAATTTGGTTTTAATGGTAGTGGTCTTTACCTTGTTGACAAATCAAAACCTATGAAGAAGATAGTGAATATGCAACCAAAGTTCGAGAAAGTAAATGAGTCTAAGAAAAATGAAAATAGTGTTTTAAAAAACCTGCAGGGAGCAATTGATTCTGTACTTACACCTAGCCCAAGTCAACCTACACTGACAGCACTTGCGAACTCAACAAAACGCAGAGCAAGTATCCAGGCAAAAAAGGCCTAAATTTTAACAGCACAAGATGTTGTCTCAAGGTTGCAAGAAGAAGAGAAGGATAAAGCTGAAAAGAAGACTTTCAGTAAGAAAAAAAAAACTGCTAGATATAACCAGTACACTTTTTAAATACATAAAAAGCAATAAGTGTGATATATGTATCAAATATATGAGTATCTGTATTACCCCACCAGTGGGATAATAAGGATATCTGAAAGGTGTTGTTGAAAAAGAATTAGTAAGTTGGTTATTGAAAATATATTTATGTTCTACTCATTGTGAAGTTATTGTATACACCCTGAGTGTAAAGGAAAATAACAAAAATTTTTATAGTGGTTAGTAACTAAAAACAAATAATATTAAAAAAATATATATCTAAAATTCTATTCATATTACCCCACCCCACCCTACCAAATAATTTGTTCAATTTAAATGAACTATAAGAGTTAAAGATACAAGAATTTGACTGTATTTGTCTGATTTAATATAATTATAAAGATATTTTATCTTGAGACAATCATCTAAATCTTTAATTATTTTTGTCTGAGAACTTGTAGAAAGTATTAAAATATTTAACCATTTGTTTGCTATATTAAAAACCTAATAATTCATTTAGTTACTATTTTTTAGGTGTTTTGGAAAGTTGCCATGACTCAAGCAACAATCCAGTGTCTTACTATCTTGACATGGTTGCACAAAATTCTGTTGCAGAAAAATTTGAGAATTTTTTGAGGTTGTATAATATAAAATATGTAGCTGGATATTCATCATTTATTGAAAAAAATTTCAATCATATTGCTGATCTAGAGCATGTTATTAAATATGATGATTTTGAGATATTAAAAGTATATGAAGATGAAGAAAAGTATGGTTTCTTCAGCTTTGTTCATTTGCCAGGTGATTTTTTAACAAAGTTAATATGTATATATATATATATATCAGGGACTATTCTAGAATGTTTTCGACAGCATCTACTGTATTTGGGCGCCGTCCTAATTAAAATATGAGGACCTTTTTTCTTTTTTTTACGGTAAGAAAAATTTTTCCCTAAAAAAATTTTTTTATCGGGTTTTTTTCAAAATTTCTCCAGGACAGGAGGGTACTGCTGCCCAAATTTTTTTCCTAGAATAGGCCTTGTGTGTATATATATATATATATATATATATATATATATATATATATATATATATATATATATATATATATATATATATATATATATACATATATATATATATATATATATATATATATATATATATATATATATATATATATATACATATATATATATATATATATATATATATATATATATATATATATATATATATATATATATATATATATATATATATATATATATATATATATATATGCGGTAGTGGTGTAGTGGTAGAGCGCTTGCTTCATAAACGAGTGGTTCCGAGTTCGATCCCCACCACGTCCCTGGTAGTACCGCGCTCAACTCGTTTCTTTGCGCAGCGGCCTTGTTCGTCAAGGTTCGTGTTTCGGAGTTATAGAGTTGAGAGAGGGTTATAGCCACAAAATAAGTAGCCTCCTCGTCTGTAGTGGCCTTCTCGGCCTTGAGGAGGTGAAGTAAAATAAAAAAAAATATATATATATATATATATTTTATGTATATACAATAACAATTCGAATAATGATTTGACGAGTATTAAATAAGTATATTTACTATTATTTTCATTTTCATTTTGATTTAAGTATTTAACTGACAGACATATATACATATGTCTGTCAGTTCTTTTCATTTAACTTTACTAAAGGTTAATAATTATCACAGTACTTCCTTTTAAATAAAAAAGATAATTACAGTAAACTGAAAGTTTTTGTAATTGTTATTTTTTTAATTATGAACATCAAAAAATATGAAGAGAAACAAAACTTTCTGAAAAGTTCCGTTTTTTTTAAAAATAAAATAGCGAGGTAAAGATAAAAAGTTGTTTCAATCAAAAATTAAATTTGCGCAATTATTGTTATTAAGAAGCAGTTTTTACTTTTATTCATTTATTATTAAAAACAGTCTCTTAATTGCCAACAAGCAAAACTTAACTTTAATCTTAATGAGTATTTTACCTGCTCTATGTTTCGAAAAAACAAATTTTTCATACATTCGATTGTCTTTAAATTGAGTTTCATAGTAAATTGTAACTCATTTTTTTAAAATCTAATATTCTACAAGTAATTAAATGACAGCTTGTAATCTTTAAAGAAATCAGTAGTAACAAGTTATATTTGAATTATGAATAAACTTTTAAAATTATTGAGTTAAACTTACTAAAACAAATTATTTATTGGGGCATTTAAAAGAAAAACACATTTTAACACCATTTTGTTTTTTGATAACTTCATGCTTTTTAAGTTTTTTTCTTTATTTAACTGGTATGATAAATTCAGTTATGTAAAAATTATTTGACATCTGTTAAATAACTTAAAAACTTTTAGATAATTTAAAAAGTTATTGGTGTAATGTTATATTTGATTTTTTTCTTTAGAAGTTATACTTTATCATCATTAAAAATAAATGAAAAGAAAAGTTTAGTTTTATAATTTTAACTAAAAAAAGTCAATGAACAACAATAAATTTACTAATGAGCTTAAAAGTTAAGCAAAATATTTTAAATGCTACTTATAATATTTTGTTTATTTTTATAATTTTTTAATAATTCTTTTTATTACTTGTTAATGAAATTAGTAACATTTATTTTTTTTTAACCGTTTTTTTAACGTTTTAATGATAAAAAAATAAACAAAAGCGACAAAAATGATTTATAAATAAAAAGGTATTGTCTTACATATAAGATAATGTAAGACAGTGAAGACTACATCAAAAAGGAAAAGCCCAACCTCATTGTGCAAACTAAATTGTTTTTTTGTTAAAAAAAAGGCACATTCATTATAAAATCAGATATTTTTATAATGGAAAAATTGTAAACAAAATGAAAAAAAATCTTAGACTCATAACCAGAATCATAATGAAGAAAAAACAAAAAATCTAAGTTATTTTTTTTTTAATATTTTGATAAATAATTCATTTTAGAAAGTTTAAGTAATTTAAAACTTATTCTCAAATAATAATCATCGAGTATCATTTAAGTTATTTATACAACGTATGTTTAATAAAGATCTTTTTAATAAAATAAGAAACATTTAATATCAATGCAAAGGTTAAATTATTTTAAAATAGATATTACACAAGACATTTCAAAAAGCAGTAAGCAAAAAATGTGTGTTTCTTCTAGTTTATACAAATTGCTTTCTACTTTCATTGAAACAAAACAATTTGTAGACAAAATTAAATGCTTTCAGCAAGCCCTACCTTTCTGATTTAAATATAGGTTTGTCTTGAAATATCCACAAATTTTGGTTGGATGAGATATTATGGTTTATGATTAATTTTGACATATTGTGTTGTTATGTTATCTTTTAATATCAGCCTCTTAAGTTTGAAGCAGACATTGTGTGATTTGCAAATTTAAACAAAAATACCCTCCAAAAATACCTTCAGTGTCTCCCTGGTCGAAAGAAATTAGTTTTATTAAATAAAAATAAAAAATTAATCTAATTACAGTCATAATTTATAATTAAATTTTTATCAAATATATTTTGGCACTCAAAAGATATGGCCATATAAACTGTTAACCATTTTTTGAACATTTTAAATTCTTAGAAGAAGCCTTAAAAAAAAAGATTTTTAATTTGTTTTCAATGGTTTCTATTTAATGTCAACCTACTGGAAAGAGTAGCTTGTTATTAAGCGGTTAACAAATAGTGTAATCAAATAAGTAAATCAATTAGGTAACAAGAGAACAGTTTTAAACTACAATAAATAATTATATTCAATAGTATTTAAACTATATGACAATTAAGTATATTAGTAAAATCTAAACAAATAATGCTCATGTATAAAATATTACCCATAATGCTATTTTCTTATTTAAAATTTTTTTTTAAACTGGTTAGCCTAATATACATGTTTAACACGTTTATAGTTCATTGTCACTTTAAAATATAAAAGGTATAAAGTATAAAATTTGAAAAACTTTTAAAAATTTATTAAAAATGCTGTTAAAATCTGTTTTAATACTTAATGATAAAGTGTGTCAATAATGATTATACAAAATTTACAAAATAGTTAAAGGAAACCAATGTTTTTAAATTAATTTTTTTTTTCACTTTACAAAATTTTTGGTAATTGTTTAAAAAAAGACTAAAATTGTATTTTATTAAAAAACAATAGGGGTGTAATGCACTCTATTAAACCTGAAGAAAAAAAAGTGTTTTGCTTGCAATTGATAATTTTATAGTATTATAAAGTATTATAGTATTGATTTGATTTTGAATTATTGTTTAGATATTTCTTTTGTGTTTTATTTCAGGATATGTTGATGGTAATAAAAAAAATTTGCATCAAGCTGTTGTTCAGTCATTAGATTTGTATTCTCAAAATTTATTGTTGTATTTGAATCCAAGGCGTAACTCTGCTATTCGAAAGCAAAATGTTTTAGTGATACAGGTATTTTGTTTTTCTATTGCTCTTTTTGTAAAAACATTTCAACCAATTTTTTTTATTAAAATAAAGTAATTACAAACAAATAAAATAAAAACAAAGAAAGTTTTAAAAACAAAAACAAAGTTTTGTTATTCAATTTTTATACAGGATATAAACATTAGATACACGTTTTTTTCAGTTTTCAATTTTAAAAGTAATATATCATTTTATCGCATTAAGAAATCTAGTTTTTCTTCTATTATTTCTTTTCTTTTAAATGTTCTTGTTATTTTACATTAGTTTGTTGTTTTTTCTGGGTAAAATTTTTGAAAAAAAAATGTTTTAATTACAATATGAAATCAGTTTTTGTTTTTTTTCATTGTTTTTATTTAACTGAGTAAATATTTTATGAACACATCACAAATCACAAAATCTTTAAGATCTTGAAATGCTGAAGTGAAATATTATTGCATATTATTCTGTCACCTTAACATTTGTCTATAATTTTTTTATTCTTAGGCCTTATATTATTTTGCCACCTTCACATTTGTTTATGGTTTTCCATTTTTAAGCCTTATATTTTTGTATTTAGTATGTTTTTGTTTGGTGATATATTTGTTGTATATCTTTGTTCATTTTAAGTGTTTATAAAAAGTATATTTTTCATTATTATTGTTAGTATTGTTTGGATGCACTATCTGAAAGAATTTTGTAAAATTGTTAGGTTTTTGAAAAACTAGCTTACAAGAATATTTTTTAAACTTAGAAAATTTGATATAGAGCCAATTGGAAAAAATATTTCTTAAGAACAAAAGCAAGTTGATGTTCTTTTACTTTGAAATTTAGAATTTCTATATGTGTAAAATTGTAGTTTTTTTTTATATAAAAATGCTAGTTAGACATTTATTCAAAAAAGTTTACCAACTTATTTATGTTATACAAAAAAATATGGCTAAATCATCAAATATAAATTAGAAATTGAATTATAAAATATATACACTCCTAACATTTTCATTATAAATAATGATTGCTCACTGCCAACTTTTGTCAAACTGTCAACAATTCTCATGACAACACTTTGTAAAAAATATATATCCTTTTCTAACATTTTCATTATAAATAATGATAGATGATTGCTAACTTCAGACAAACTATCAACAATTCTCATGACAATACTTTGTAAAAATATAATACTTAATGTCATCAAATGACAATTCATTTATAAAGTTTCATTGTTCAATTGAAAAAAATATTCAGACACTGTTGTAAATAATGTGTGACACATGGTTTTATTATTCTTACCTGTTGTTGGAGAAACTTATTTCTGTTTTTGATTAGCTTGGACATGGACACCATCAAACCATTCTTTTGATCATTCTAAAAGAGAACTACTTTCAGAACTTGAAATTCTATAAAAGAAGAACTATTTTCAGAATTTGAAGTATGGTCTAAAAAATTACAAATTTATATTTAAAGTGTTTCATTACATGGAGTATGAAGAACCTTGCTCATCTCTTGAATGTGTTGAATCTGAAAAAGAATCAGTAGTTAGTATTGAACTGATTTGCTGAACCAAGATTATTTTAAATAGTGAAACCTTATTATAAACATTTTACCAACCTAAATTGTTCTTATAACACAAAAAATAATTATATGTGTGCGTGTGTGTGTGTGTGTGCGAGTTTTATATATATATATATATATATATATATATATATATATATATATATATATATATATATATATATATATATATATACATACATAAATTTATTAATTATGGTATTAAAAGATTTTACAAAACATGTTACAAATTTATCAAAACTCAGGTCTTTTCAACAACAAGATGAGAAAGTTAGGATCAGCTATGAACCTTTTGGGTCCCATCAGAGTTTTGGAACCTAACGTTCAACAGAAATTTTCTCAAGCAGGTCAAAAGCTCAATAAGCATTTTACAGTGATGAGTATTCCACTCAGTGAAAGCAATACCACAAGACAAGTTGTTCACTTTCTCAACAAGCTCAGTGAAATATTCATGTTAGCTAGAAAATTTCTGACTCTGCTGTTATGAAACTTGGAAAAGATGAAAAAACAGAGAAAAATTTATAAAAGTAAGCTTTACCATCCTTAATATCTGCTTAGACAGAATATTAACGCTAAATTAATGCTATACAAATGGCAGAACTAAGATGGCCATTAAAAACTATAGACTATAAAACGCTAAGGGATCGTACATAAATTACACAACACTAAATTTATTTTTAAAAAAAGGAGATCTTAAGTTCTTTTAGGTGGCAATTTTCATTAATCTTAACTATCCACTATTTTAATTTTTTGTTTAACTTACGGCTTTGCAGGAGAAAATTCTGATATTTTTGTTGTGTTTATTAGTGAAATTTATTGTTGCGTAATTTATGGACGATACCTAATCTAAAAGTTGTGCCAAAAAATAACGGAGTATATTATTTTAATGGTAAATTCTGTCGTTGTTACTCACTCAGTTTAGAATGTTTAACAGAGGTGTTCTTTACAACAAATAAAATAAAATAATCTCAATAATCTTGGTAGATTAAAAACTTTCAAGTTTTTTTCTTATGTTAACTTATGTTAGAATTTTAACTTATGTTATTTTAGTTTTACACTTCAAGTTTTTTTCAACTAAGTTGAGTTTGTGCAAGGAAATTAAGTGTACCATGGTTCAAAGCCCACCTAAGAAAACTCTCAGACTGATGGCATCTACACCATCTAAAACTACCAGTGTCAAGCAACAAATGCTAGTAGCAATTTCTCAAGACACTCCAGAGACTTATTTCAAGTCCATTCTTGATATCATTCAAGTTCAAGAAATGTGTGCCAAAGATTCCTGGTTGTCTCATGTGATATGAAGCTTGCCAATATAATGTGTGGTATACAATCTCATGTAGCAGACACCCTTGCTGTTGGTATGACATTGAATCAACAAAACTCCTTAACTGTGGCAGCCTGAGAATTTTTAGTGGTATAAGTAGAAAGCAAAAAGAGCTCAGGTGGCGATTTGAGAATATCAAAAGTCTTCTAAAACGTGGTGCATCGAGTTCACAACAACTTTTGAAATGTATTGTTGATTATAACAGTAAAGGGTTTAAGAAAAACTCCAGAACTGTTTGAGAATGTTTTTGCTAGTTATTGCTGATGTTTTTTTGCTAGTTATGTGTGATGTATTATACAATATTTGTCATAAACTTAAAGATAAAGTGAAAATAAAATTTTAACAATTTTGTAGCTAATTTTTTTTTTTCAACATCTTCACTTGACTCAAAGCACAGATAGTGGTTAGTACACTATTTAATAGTCCAAGTAATTGCCTCATTGCTATTAATAAACTCTAACCCGTAAGTAAGGGGTTTTTAATCTATTACAAATTACTCAACTTAAGTGAGTTTTTAGTAGTTTTCAATAAAAATAAATTTAATAAATAAATTTTAAATTTCCATGGCCTAGGGACCAATACTTAATAGTTTTTTTTGTGGGACAAAGTTTTGACTCTCATTTTGTGAAAAAATAAAATCTACCATAAGTAAAAGTTAAAAAAAAAGAGTGGAAAAACAAAAAGTCTCACAAACCATTTCAAAAGATTTTTAAATCACTTACAATGGACCTCTACATGTGTCTAGAATTACCTCCCAAAATACCTTTTTTGGGGTATTTTGTTAGTATTACTTTCAGAATTTTCAAACTAAAGAAACACAGTGTAAAATGAAATAATTTGATAAGTGATTTTCTACTAATCAATAGCGTTTTATACTTAAAATTTAAAAAAGAAACAACTTTTTATGGAACTTAGTTTTTTGTCTATTTATAAGTTCTGACTTTATAATACAAAAAAACTTAACGGAAAACCAATCTCCACTCTCTCTATACATGTAGATCACGCAGGTAAAACCACAGAAAAATGAAATTTAGTGTTGAGAGACATCACATATCTGTTTATTGATATTGTATTTAATCAAAAGTATTTTTTTATGACATTTTAGTCTTAACACAACAAATAAATGCAGTTTTTTTGCTTAATACAAAAAAAAAGTTTTCACAGTGTTCATTTGAAGACAAGACACTCATTTTGGACATCTGTAATTTTTCCGTTGTAAATTCATCAACTCATAAACTTTATTAACTTGTAACCTTTTAGGGCAATTATTTTGTTAAATGTAGATTGTAACACACTCTAATATACAACCACAAATTACTCAGGTGTATGTGATATCCTCGTCCTCCTCCCCCCTCCCTCCCTTGATAATTTAAAAGTCATGTAGCATGGAGCATACAGACCATTTGTTGCCAAATTTTTTATCATAGCAATAAAAATATACTTTTTGAGTTGAAAGTAACACCACACATTTTGAGTTAAAAGTAATAGCACACGTATTGATTTTGGGGTTTGTTTGTGTTTGTCAAGAGAGAGAGAGAGAGAGAGAGAGAGAGAGTAAAATGGGGTAATTTTGCCAATTTAGAAACTTTGTCATCAATTCGTGTATATCTTTATTTATAACTATAACCTTACTCAGGAATAAGATTTTTTTATAATTCAAACTTCTATTAGAAGAAAAAAAAATTCCTTTAAAGTTTCATATGATATAATCTTTTAAAAAATTCTCTTGTTGTAAAATATTGTTTTTAATCTAAGCTGGTGGTATTAATGTAAAACATAAATTATATTTTAAAAATCATATGCTTGCAAAATAAATGCATATTGTGACATGCATGTTATGAGTTTTTTGTTTACATGAAGAAAAATAAAAATGCATAATTATTAATAATATCATTAAATTAATATCATATTTTTTAAAATTAACATATCGAAAAACTTAATTATTATATATATATATATTAATTAATTAGTACGCATAGTATCGTATAATATCGTACATAATTAATAAGCATACTTTATTTGTTTCATTTGTGAAGTTTTTATCTAAAATTAAGTTTGCTTGATTGTTGAATGAAATTTTCAAGTACATTAAATTAGGCTTATTACTAGTAACTTATCATTTTTCAAATTATTATATTATTAAATGATAATACTTTGTTTGTTATATTAAATTGTTGATAAGTTGTGATATTTTATTTATCTAAGTAATTGTGATTAAGTGTGCATTCTTAGAGAGTTTTAGAAACAGTTTTAAACAGTTTTTTAATGTTTAGTAAGAATTTGGGTTTTAAGTACATATAAAAAGTGTAGATATATTATAATGTTTAGTAAGAATTTGGGTTTTAAGTATATATAAAAAGTGTAGATATATAATGTTTAGTAAGAATTTGGGTTTTAAGTTGTATATAAAAAGTGTAGATATATAATGTTTAGTAAGAATTTGGGTTTTAAGTATATATAAAAAGTGTAGATATATAATGTTTAGTAAGAATTTGGGTTTTAAGTTGTATATAAAAAGTGTAGATATATTATAATGTTTAGTAAGAATTTGGGTATTAAGTTGTATATAAAAAGTGTAGATATATTATAATGTTTAGTAAGAATTTGGGTTTTAAGTTGTATATAAAAAGTGTAGATATATTATAATGTTTAGTAAGAATTTGGGTTTTAAGTTGTATATAAAAAGTGTAGATATATTATAATGTTTAGTAAGAATTTGGGTATTAAGTTGTATATAAAAAGTGTAGATTATAATTTTTTAATTTAGATTTTTATGATACAGTAGTTGATAATTTTTATGATTTTATGATTACAATAGTAATGAGTTATGTTATTTGTAGACAGTAAGTAAAAGATATTTTGGCAACACTATATCAAATTCACCTGGTTCTATAGTTAACTGGAAGTTGAATGGTCAAGGTATAGATTCTATTGAGGCAGTTCAATACTTAGAAAATATTTTTGCTAATATGCCACTTTATTCTACCGTAATTGAAGAGAAATATACTTACAAAGATTATCATGTGTTAGTTCAAGTGATGCAGCCAAGCTCAAAGGTAAAATATTTTTAATCATTTTAGTTTTTATAATACTTACTAAATAAGAGGTTCAAGAAATTTAGGTGTTGAAATAGTTTGTATAACTTACTACTTATTGAAGTGGTCCAAACTATTTAGGTAAAAAAATATAAATATAGATAATGTAAATATAAAATAATATAGATATAAAATATAAAATGATATAGATAATATGTTTATAATGTGTTACTATGTTTAGAATATGTTACTATGTTTATAATGTGTTACTATGTTTATAATGTGTTTCTATATTTATAACGTGTTACTTTGTTTATATTGTGTTATTATGTTTATAATGTGTTACTATGTTTATATTGTGTTACTGTGTTTATGATGTGTTACTATGAGTGTAATGTGTTACTATGTTTATAATGTGTTACTAGGTGTTTATAATAGGTTTCTAAAAAATTTATTATTAAAAATTTTTAAATAAACTAGTGTTTATAATAGGTTTCTAGGTTTTTAGTGTGACTTTATGATATTTTTGGATATTTATATATATTTTATCCATGATAAAACAATAACGAAGATTAAAAGGGAAATCACATATTTTTAACATATTTTTATGGTTTAATTATTAGTAAAAAAAAAAAAGGTTTCTAAAAAATTTAACTCTAGTGTTGGTAAAAAATATAATCTTATATAAAAATATAAATAATGTTCAACTCGTTTCTCTGTGTAGCGACCTTGTTCGTCAAGGTTTGTGTTTCGAAGTTAAAAAGTTGAGAGAGGGTTGTAACCACAAAAAGTAGCATCTTCTATTGTAGTGGCCCTCTCAGCCTTGGAGAAAGTAGTTTCCAAAAATAATTATTCTACCAGAAATTTTACTAAAATTCTAAAGTGCTACCATTGGTATTAATAAGCAATTTGGAACTTACTATGTTTAAAAATAAATTCAAATTTTTATTTTTTCAAAAGTAATATAAGTAGAAAAGTCATAAGTTTAAACTTTTTGTAGTAAGTTATAAAATCTTTTTGTAAATTTTATTGTTTTTGCTAATGACAATTCCCTATAATACTACTAACTTATACCATATCATTGTACTACTTACATACTACTAACTTATACCATATCATTGCACTACTTACATACTACTAACTTATACCATATCATTGCACTACTTACATACTACTAACTTATACCATATCATTGCACTACTTACATATTACTAACTTATACCATATCATTCCACTACTTACATACTACTAACTTATACCATATCATTGCACTACTTACATACTACTAACTTATACCATATCATTGCACTACTTACATACTACTAACTTATACCATATCATTGCACTACTTACATACTACTAACTTATACCATATCATTGCACTACTTACATACTACTAACTTATACCATATCATTGCACTACTTACATACTACTAACTTATACCATATCATTACACTACTTACATACTACTACTTATACCATATCTACTAATTTACAAACTCAATGAGTATGTCATATTCTGATGAGCTTTTGTAAATAATTACAAAAATTTAGTTTCATTATGTTTCTAGAAAAAAGCTTATGCACTGCCGAGAGAAAACCTTATGCACTGCCGAATAGAAAGCCGAGCCAAAAGCTGTTAATCACATAACAAATATGTCTAGTAATTCTTTAATGGTAATTTGAAGAAAAATGTTTTCTGCTTTGTCTTAAAATAATAATTTATGTTCAAATAAGTAATAAAGATATATATCACGTAAATAAACCTATATTGATAAAATTAACAAAACATCAAAATGTTTAAAAAACTATGTTGATAAAACTCCATTAACTAAAAAAAGTTTGCATTTGCTTTAATTGTGAGTGGTTAATAAATATTTCAAATACAAAGTTTTTTCAGGTTTGCAAAGATTTTTGATATCTTCTAAAACTTTTACTGCTTATTTGGCACAAATGTTTGATCTTTGCGTATTTATAGGCAAAGGAATATCACACCAAAACTTTGTGAATATATTGGAAGTCTTTGGATGATCTTTAATGGCTTCCTCTAATTCTTTACCATTTTCAGGGTTAAACATTTGGTTTAAAAACCAGATATCTGCCCATTTTCCAGCAACAAGCTTAACTGCCATCTCAAGTCATTGTCTGTCTGAAGGAAATAGTATGTAAGCAAGTAGTAAATAACTTGTCTGGGAGTTCCATCAAGATTGGGTAAACTTTTGAAGTTAAAAAATTTCTTTTTATTCCAAAAGTATTTCATTATGTTAATCAGATGCTTCAAAAACTACATTTCATTTCTCCATTTCAGTTCATTCTCCTTCAATTGTATACCGCTATTGTCATACCCCAGATGTCTCTATTTGTAGTATACCCCAGATGTCTCTATTTTACCCCAGATGTCTTCATTGTAGTATCTCTACCAGATGTCTCTATTTGCTTTAAATAAAGATTTTTACCTTTAGAATGCAACCAAAGTCCATCCTCTTTCATTATATCTAATAAACCATCAAAACTATCAGTTTCTTGTTTTTTGATTTTGACTTGTCTCATTTTAATCAATTTTTCTATTTTTCTTGGCACTGATCTTTTGTCTATTGTTTGAAAATTCAAATAAGGCCATAGTTCTAAACATTCATCTGAAATTTTCTTTATTCGTCCTTTCACATTTTTACAGTCTGATTCCAAGCTGGTGTATTGGTTAATTATTTGCTAATTTGTGAGCATTTTACATATAGTTCCTAATGGTTCTCGATTACTCTTACATAATCTTTTATTTTTCTCAAAGTGAGTCAAATTCTTTTTTCATACATCTCTCGATATTTTGATTGCAGAAGAATTTTTGTTTGACATATTGAATGGTTGTGTAATAACTGAACTTGTAATACCTTATACAATTTATTATTTGATTAGATTAAACTAATTAACGCTAAATTTCACTAACAAACAAAACAAAAAAGTTTTCCCTCGCAGAGCAAAATTTAAATCAAAAATCAAAATAGCGCGTTAAGTTTAATGAAAATTGCCGCGTAAAAGAGCTTAAGATCTCCTACTTCTGTTTTTAAAATAAATTTAGCGTTGTGTAATTTATGGACAATCCCTTAGGAACTATAATTCATTTGGTGCGTGAGTTTTTTAAAAAGATGTACGTTGTCATTTTTTTTAAATATAAAAGCACATAATTTGGTGACATGCTCATTTAAAAATCTTAAAATTATTTTTTATTTTATACCCCTAACTTACATACAACTAATTTTTTATCATCATATTATTTAGATACTACTAACTTATACTATATCTTTGTACTAGTTCATACTACTATTTATGCCATGTCATCCCAGATAACTCATTGACGTCCCGTCGACGTCATTTAGATGTCTTTGTTATGGTAGGCCCAACGTCGACAAAAGACGTCAGATTGCCTGCGATTTGATCACCGGTTCCATGTCGGCCTTATCTAACCAACCTAACATACAGAAATTACTAGATTGAATTTGGCATCATTGTAAAGTTGGAAAAATACAGTTTTATCCGACTTTGTGTGAAAACGTCGCTGGCACAGCGATTTGATTACCGGTATTATGTTAGCACAATATTAATATTGTTGTCCCAATTAGGTATATCTGATGGAAAAGCAAGATATTTCGGACAAAGAAAGAGATCACTCAATTTTTACTAAATACGTGACTAATAAAAACATTTTGTTAATTATTAAATGTTTATTAATTAGTCATTAATGATTGCTTGCTTATCAACTGATTGATATATCAACAGTTGACATTTACAGTTGACAACTGTTTAAAATAATTTTATTAATAACAATAAATTTATTATTATGGATTTAATAATAAATAAATTGTTTAAATGACTTATTAATAATGATTTTATCAATTAGTCAAAAAAATATAACTAAAAAAACAAATAAAAAAAAATTTCTTCTATAGTCTGTTTCACCTTCACCAGGTTTATCAATAACCTGGTGAAGGTGACTTGATAAATAAGGCTCAACTGCGTTTAACTTGTTTCTCTGCTGTGCAGAGAAACAAGTTAAACGCGGTTCTATCATGGGATCAAACTCAGAACTTCCCACTTACAATGCCAGCGCTTTACCTCTACACCACTACTGAGGTTTTTTTATGTACATTACATTTTGTTTTTTAAAGAATTTTGATTTTTTAAAAACTATATAAATTATTGCTAATCTTTTTTTAAATAGTTTTAAAACAAAGAGTTTTTCTTAAATTTTTATAAGTTCTCGGCAAGTCTGCATTTTTTTAGCCTGATGATATGACAAAAACAAGATTTATGCAATAAGGTTTATATTTGTTTTATTTCTTAAATTTTTATTGTGAAAGATTTCACAAACGTTCATAAAACTCATAAATGTAATAGATAACACAAATGTTTTGTAAAATTTCATATTTTTTCATAATTAATTTTTTATAATGTTTTTAGTTCTATTAACCTTAGTTCTTTTTATCGTTTTCTGTTTTCTATGTAATGATTGTTATTATGCAATGTATCTATGTGATGATTGTACGTATCTATCGATTGTATCTATGTGATGATTGTACGTATCTATCGATTGTATGTATCTATGTGATGATTGTACGTATCTATCGATTGTATGTATCTATGTGGTGATTACGCTTCTATCGATTGTATCTATGTGATGATTGTACATTTTGTTACTATGTAATGATTGTACGTGTCTGTATGGTGATTGTACATATCTACGAGTTTTTAGAAAAAAAAAACTGATGCAACGAGTTTTAGTACTTTTTACTTTTAGTTTTATATATCAAATAAAGAGTTTTTACTTTGTGTGTAACGACGCTGTTTTTCATTACAGGTTGAGCTAATGGAACATCTTCTATTCAAGTTTTCATACCACCCATTTTGGCAATGTGTTTATATACCGGTATCAAATACGTACCGTTTACGTGATTATGACTCTAATCGTTTTCTTATTAATCGAACATTAACTGCTGTGCACCATGTTACTCCTAACTTAATGGCAATCACTTTACCTGAAGGCCGGTTCCATGTTATATTATTTTTCCGTATTCCTGGTATCTTAAAAATTGCAGCACTAATTTTTATAGGAGTTGTTTTATGCAAACTTTTCTATTTTTTAAGTTGTGCGTTATTTGCAATAACAAAACAAAAAACTAACAACAACAAATAAAATTTAGTTTTGTGTTTGCCATTTTTTTTGTCTAAATCAATTAACAAATCAGCTAGTTGCTAAGTTACTCAATCAGATTTGCTGAGCCTTTATATCGTTTTTATATGTACCAGGTTTTAATAATACGTTTAAATTTTTTTCTGTTTTTTTGTCAAATATCAAAAATTTATGAATTTTGTACGAATGTATTTCTACATTCTAAAACTTATCGTTTTGACTACGGTTTGCTGTTGACTATCGAGCTAATTTATTTTATACATGTATTATTTGTAAATAGTTATAGTAATATAAATTAATTGTAAATAAATAATTATTTATAAATAAATTATTAAAAGTTCAGAATATGTCAAATTTAAATTTGTTTTATTGAATTGAACAATAAAACGATGTTATAATTTTATTTTGAACCCCTTCTTTTTCTTCGTATCAAAGCACACACAAAAAATTTAAATTAAACGTATGCTGGTTGTGTTTTATTAAAATGTTATTTGCGTTATGTTGGTGATGTTGGTTGCGTTTTATTAAAATATATGTTGGTTGTGTTTTATTAAAACCCATCTTGGATGCGTTTTATTAAAATGTATGTTAATTGCGTTTTAATAATGATTGTGACACGATGGGTGTTGCTGCAGCAAAAGTATTTTAAAGAGTTTACTGTAGTTGCATCAACTACACCCTGCAATGGTTTATCCAACGGGGTGCAAATCGATTTGTGAAAAAGTGCTAACATTTCGGATAAGCTTTAAGTGGTTGGGTATTTAAACATTGGATATTTCTTCTTAAGTTGTATGCCGAGTTTAAAGAAAAAGACTTTTTAAGTGACCATTGTGAAATGATGACCAATCTTGTATTTCAGTATAAAGTCACTAAAATTTCTAAACTCTAGATGTGGTCAAACATATTCTAATTTTTTCTAGAGCCAAAGAATCCGGCCCCGAAATGAGAAGAAAGGCAACCAACCATTCGATTTCCAGACAACGTTGCTGCTTCTACCAGCGTTTTCACTTTGAGATTGTCAGATACTAGTTCCCAAAGTCTCTGCATGTTGGAGCAAGAATGCAACGATTTTGTCGGTGTCAGCCATAGTGTAGATGTGCATGGATTTGTTATTGTGACGACTAAATGCATTACTTTGTACTTCTCAAATGTTGAAATAAGACGTATAAATTAGTATTTTTATTAATGCAGGTAAGTCATTGACAAGGAGCACAAGCAGCATCAATCCGAGAACTGATCTTTGAGGGAGATCGCCTGCCATCTTTTTTTGATTTGAACGTTTGTTTTCCAATTACTACTTTTTTTTATCTTTTTTCTAACCAAGCAGTGATCCAGTTAAGTAACATGAATTTTTTGAAGAAGTTTTTAGTGTGGCACTGTTTAAAATGCTTTGGCGAAGTCATTAAAAATTATGTCAACAAGGTTACCCGGGTATACTGCCTCTGTGATAATGTCAGGAGATTCTATTAGGTTTATTACGTAGCCTTTTTGATGTACAAACCCATTCTGTGACTTTAAAATTAGATTGTGTATAGCACAATATTTTATAGTCTTTTCTTTTATAAATCTCTCCATCATCTTGCACGGTACAAACATGAGAGACACTGGCCTGTATAGTTACAAACTTTGAGCTTGTTTCCGATTTTGAGGAATAGCGTGATATTTAATTTACGTCAAAGGTCTGGGACATCCCCAGTTTTGAAGAAACTTTTAAAAATAGGTAAAAGAAAATGAAGAATATCATAATTAGATTTTTATTATTTTTTATAAATTATAAATTATTTTTCAATAAATGATAAAACAAAAATTAAAAAAATGTAAAGTATTGCATATATATATATTTTTAAAGGACTTTTAATATTTTATTTTATTGTATTACGACTAACATTCTAAACTGAAAAAAAAAATTATGTTTAAGGTGTAACAGTTTTTTGTTAAAACATTTTCTACGGCTTCAGTGCCGCCAAGAGATAGGGGAAGGGAAGAATATCAAATGAGACAGTTTGTTCCGGGCGCGAATGAGACAGTTTGTCCCGGGCGGTAGATATTCAAGGGGCTTCAAGTAAAAAGAAAGTACCTAAAATAAACTTATCTATAAAATTGGGAAATTTTGATAAATAAGGGCAACAATCAGGATTGCTGTCCTAGGCGGGGTGACGGATTGGCGGGGTGACGGATTGGCGGGCTGACGGTTCTCAGCGTACAACATTTTACCGTGAAATATATGACTGGAGCAAGTAGAAGACAATAGTCTTATCATCTTGCCCCATTTTTGTCGTTGACAAAATATAACAAAATATAAACCAAATACAAATATAACAAAGTATTTATAATACATATGATTTTTTTATAATGAACATCATTAAATAACCAAGCAAGTAATATAATAGAATTTCAAGAAAAGGTGAAGATTTAAATTGAAAAAGGAAAAATTTTAAAATTTAGAAACAATTTTAAAAACAAGAGATTGTTTCATTAATGTTGAGGTCGAGTAGCTGTTGCTTTACAACGCATTTAAAATGTTGGAATGAGTTTATCGTTTTTATTTTGTTTGTTAGAAATGAGTCTCACAATTGGGGTCCTCTGCTGGATATTGAGAATTTAGATTGTCTTAAAGAGGTTTTTGGAATATCGTTGTTCTTGATAGAGTATTTTGTTTGATATTTGTGATTAATAAGGGGAAAATAGTTATGTAAGACTTCAGGGACCAGATCATTTTTAAGTTTAAACATGAACTGAAATATGCAATATATATTTTACTCGTAGATATGAAGAACTCAGTTCCCTCATTAAATATTTAGAATTGGTATTTTTATTTGCGTTTGTTAATATACGGCACGCTTGTTTTTGTTTTTTATATATTAAGTCTAGTTTTGATTTGTAGGTACTAGCCCAGGCAATATTGCAGTAGTTAATATAGCTATGTATATATGCAAAATAAAAACTTTTAAGGCATGCATTATTTAAGATATATCTGGTTTTAAGCATAATTCCAATGTTTTTAGATATTTTTTTTATTATATTAATGTGGTCTTACCAGCTAATATGTTCATCTAATAATACCCCAAGAAATTTAACTGAGAACGCTCGATTTAGTCTAACTTTGTCAAGTAGAATATTTGGAAGTTTTAATGGTAGTTTGTCTGAATTGTATGGTTTTGTGAAAAAGATATAATTACTTTTCTCAATGTTGAAAGAAAGTTTGTTTGCTTTAAACCAATCGCTCAACTCTTCAAGTTCCTGATTTACTGTATTAAAAAGTGTAGTAATGTTATAGTTGGTATAGAAAGCATGAGTGTCATCTGCGAAAAGAATGAAGTTCAATATATTGGAAGATAAAAATATGTCATTTGTATAGATTAGGAAAAGCAGAGGTCCTAGAATAGACCCTGGGGAACACCACATGTGACGATTTCAAGGGGAGTGTATATTTCATTGTAAAATAAGGCTTGTTTACGGTTTTTTAGATAGTAACTGAACCATTTTAAGTTTTTATTTTTTATACCATAATTATAAAATTTGTATAAAGTTAGTTAATTAGAAAACTTTATTTAATTGTAAAAAAAAAAAATACTTTATTCAACTCTCACATTCGGGGAAATTGAAACTTCAAGTCAAAAAAATATTTTTACCTTTCTAATTAAGTTTTTTAGGCTTTGTTGCTTTATGGCAACAATATGCAGTTATAATAATATTTTAAGCAAAAGTTGAAATGTCAAAGAATAAAATATCAAAAGAAAATAATGTTATAGATTGGCTGCAACGTCTTAACAAGAATTCCGAAATAGAACAAAACAGAATTTAGTTGTTATGGATTTCTCATGAAACTTTCAAAAACAATTTGAGTTAGATGTAAAGTATAAATAAACTTTACACTTCTCACAAGAAACTTTTCAGCGCAGCCTGAATACTTACAACGTCAACAAAAGAAGGAAAATGACCTATATTGTCAAGACTCAATATGCCATCAAGAAGGTCCCACCCATATATGTGTTCTGCACAAACATAACATGTTCTCTATATTTATTTGTAAGGCATATTTATTAGTCTCATCAACAATTTTTTGAAGAAGTTCTTTAGTTAGAAACCTTCTTACATATTGGCTCATCTGAGATGCCATTATTATCATCTTCATCTTCACAGTTTTGAAATGGAAGATTTATTTGCTGAACATCGTCATCTTTTTAAATTTTCCAAATAACATTTTTTTTTACTGCGGTTTGTATGCTGATTGTGCAGTAACTGTTGATGTGTTTTAGCTGATAACAGTTGTTCTTGTTGTTATTCATTACCATTGAAAGTATCACTATCTCATGTAGAGTTGTTCAGATGTTCTGGTGGTTAAGTTGAGTTCTTACTTATGCAACACTTTTTAGTGAAATAAACCTCTTTGACTTTTACACACCGTGTTTGACAAAACCAAACTTTACATTAAGAATTTTTCATTATATCATATTCTATGTTTTCACTTCTTTCGCCCGAAACTTTACGGTATATTTTAGAGTTGACTTGGTTTGCTGTTGCTGCTGAAGTCGCTTGATTTATTTGCTTATAATAAGTCTAAGCTTACGTTGTTTCCTAGCTAACTTTGCTGATTTTTTGGTGCCATTATTTTTCAATCTATCAAGTATTTAAAGTTTTTTTGAAACAATCTGTTTGAATTTTGGTAGATCTACATTTTTTTCTTTTTTGTGTGTCAACGTGATGGATGCAAAATATTTGTTGCCCAGATGCGACACTGCAACAAATAAATGGTTTGGTTGCAATTATTTTTCAACTTCTTTTTAATTTTTTTTTTTTGAATAAGCAAAGCTACTATAATGTTAAAGTTTGGTTGCACGCGAGTACCAAGTGAAAAAAAAATTCATTTTCATATGTGGGTTCTGTGTGGTATTCATGGGAACCCACATGAAACCCATGTGGGGCGAGTGTTTTTTTTCAGTGGGTTAGTTTTAAAGTTAACTTGCTCGCATCCAATTGAAGCTGATGCTACATGACGCTCAATAATTTAAAAAGTAGTGAGTTAGTAGAGTTATTATTGCTGGTTGTGGTGGTGGTGGTGGTGACGACGGTACTGATATTAAATCTGTTGGTTGAGATGATAAAGACTCAGATTAAGATCACGGTGTTTCAAAGATGTTAGTAATTTGTAACTTTGAATGATCAATTGATTGATGTCATTTGGAAACAAACAGGTATTTAAAAATTTAGTGACTATTCGGGTGTGTATAAAAACTTTACTAGAGCTTTGTTGAAGTTTATATGCAGTGGGTTTAAATACCTTATACTATTTCTTCTGCGCAAAATGCGGTATTGTGTAAAATTAGTAACAGC